AAAAAAAAAAAAAAAAAAAAAAAAAAAAAACATGATGGTGTGATGATCTCAGTCACTGTACTTCAAAACTCGAGGATGTCACAGAAAAAAAAAAGGTGTTTCATGGATGCCAGGAACCAACGTGTCCTACAGACTCCTACTACATAACCCCAAAGAAAAATGACAACCATCCAAACACATCTCTCTCAAAGCAAAGACACTGATCACATAAGCTCTCATCATCTCTACCACAAAATCAATTTTTCTCTCGCACGTCCAACCTTCAGAACAAACAAACCAAGTCCCAGGACACTGGCACTATTGACCGTATTGGTTTTGTTTTTCAAAATCATGTCAAAGTGTAGCAGCGATCCAGTCTTCTCGGGCAATCCCCGAACGAACATGCGGCAGACACTGGACTGCACATGTCTACCCGGACATACAGACACAAACAGCAAAAATGGGGTATTCAGGTCTTGGGAACCAGGAAGTCTCAGTGTGGGATCGGTCATGGGTGCAATGGGTGGTTGAGGTGACGCCCACGGGATGACTAAGGGATGGCCAAGGGATGGTTGGATTACAGGGGGAGGGATAAGTGAATGTGAGTGAGTAGGAGAAGAAGGACCCCTATATTTCTCAATCTTCATGTCATGTGGATGCAATCCATGAACCAGACATGTCTGCCACTGCTATGGTTCAACAGTGTGTTTGGCAAGTGAGCCTGTTATGACTCACGGAACTGATCAACTTTCCCCTCTACTGTCTTCACCCGAATAGAACGCCTGGTCATTATAGCTGTATTTGGCACAGCTTTCAGCCCAGATACGGCAATAATTACGGGGCGTTCTATTCGGGTGATGACGGTAGTCGGTTATCGACATGGTAGGGAAACGAAAAGGAAAAAAAGTGATCAGTATGGTGGATCCTGACTCCTGAGGCTCTGTGATCCCGTTTCCCCCCCCCTTTTTTTCCTTGTTTGCTTGCTCTGCTTCGCTTTGCTTACTTCAGGCGGCAGAGTGGTTTATCAGACAAAGAACTTACACACATAGTCTGAGCTTTGAATGACTGCAGCATCGGACAAAGAACTTATACTCGTAGTCTGAGCTTTCGATCCTACTGCGGCATTGGGCAAAGAACTTGTACACGTAATCTGAGCTTTGGATGACCAACCTGTTGATCTCAGGTGCCTCCACGATGTAGTTAAATCATATGTACTACCGGTCATAGGTTTGGGTGAAACGGGTTTTCACCCTTTTGCAGACACAGATGCGGATTACAGAGTTCGATTCACAGACCTCCATCGGGTCGCGTCTTAGGTTAGATTCGTAAGTTTGTTTGGCTGAGGGCTAACCGAGAGACCTACCTGTAAGGAAAATTCGTGAGGGACATATCTGCAAATTCGGGAAATACAGGCCCGTACTAACTGAATTTCCTACAGCTACCCTAACTGCGAATAGCAGACCTGGGCTACCCCTAGGACAGCCAGGCCCTATAGGCCTACGCTGATAGACGGTCCTATAGCCTATAGCCGGGTTGGGAGAGGCCCTAGAGGACGAAACAGAATCGGTACTGGTCAGTCAGTCAGTCCGGTCTAGGTCGAGTCTAGGCTAGTTTAGACTATAGATAGGATGGGCACATCGCTTCAGGGCTTTTGGCAGTTGGTACCGAGTACATTGCTGCTGTGCTACGCGTGAACCCGAAGTGGTGACGGCTCGGCGTGGAAGGAGACAGGCATAGCCAGACCTTCGGAGTGCTGGCCATAGCTGGGACCTGCGCTGTACTCTGCCAGCACGTAGGGGCTGTCAGAGGTCTGGGTTATCGAGGTCTGCTGGAGGCGAGAGAAGTTGGTGCCCTGCTGGACCCTCCTCTGGATGGGGTTCCAGGGTTGTGGCGCTGCAGCCATAGCTGCAGCTTCTTCCTCAGAGGTCATCTTGTCAGGATTTGGTGGCGCTGCTGCAGACTTCCATCCGGGAAGTCTTTCGACACTTTGTCATCATCAGATACTGTGGCGCTGGTCTTCCTCTTCATCCTCTGAGTGGCGCTTGGCCTCAGAGGCCTGTTTCAGAGTGGCGCTTCCCTTTGGAGGCTGTATCTGGGTGGCGCTTGATGTTTCAGGGGTTCAGGGGTGTTACGAGTGGTTACTCAGGGTTGGGGAGTGAAGCGCTGCTCATTTCCGAACAGTGCACTGTAGTACTGAAGTTATCCTGACAATTCGAGACGCTGAGTTTAATAAACAGTGTAATACTGGGTTTGGACTATCATCGTTTCATTGTTTCCTGGATGTGATATACTCGGCTTTTCTTTATGACTGGTTGTGAGGATTGAGTGGAGGGAATTGCACTTTCAGTGTACCCTGTCATATTGCATGGTCAAGTCTTCCGCTGTGTTTATCTCTCCCTGTGCGGTGTGATACTCCTATCCTCTCCCCTTCCTTCTGTGTATGTATGGGGATACCTGGAAGTCTATGTGTGTGAGTGTTGGTCTCAGACAACAAACAACCAGAATCATAACATGTGAAGCAAAGAAGAGAGCGAGTCTGATTGCATGGGAACTGTAACAAAAAAAAAAAAAAAAAAAAAAAAAAAAAAGGTTTGGGCACTGCAGTTTGCCAGTTTGGAACATTGCATCGTACATCTGTTGGTCAGCGAATTCATTCCGAAGAGCGAGGATAGGTTGTGTTGTGGACCTTGTTCGAAAGAACGCATCAGCGAAACGTGTCTGTGCTTTCCTGGAATAGACTACTAAAGGATGTTGTGCTCACTGAAGTTCATGCCACGGTCTTTTCCTGCCTTGAACAGTACGGCTGCTAGTTGCCGCAGTTCAAGATTCTTCTTGTTTGAAATCATCGGCATCACCATCGTCGTTTTCGTGTTCGTCTTCTTCGTTCTCTTCCTCCTTTTCCTTTCCTTCTCTGCGAAGGGTTTTTCACATATCTCAGCGCCCGTTCCCAGTTCCAAGTCCCAACGCCCCGTCTATCGTAATCCCAACCGGTAGTTCTGTACAGTACGCTGGTAGCATTCTTAGGCCTAGAGCGGAAGAGTGTTACAGTAGGGCGTGTACCACACACCTTCTCCCCTTTCCTCGCATGTTTGTCGGTCACCTCCTCCACCCATCCCCTTCCCCCCCCCCCCCCCCCCCCCCCCCCCCCCCCCCCCCCCCCCCCCCCCCCCCCCCCCCCGTACCCCCTCTCTTCTCACTCTGGACATACCTGTCCCTTCTACCCCTTCTTGCTCCTCCCTTTCCTTTCCGATGTCCTCGGGCCATATCTGCTTCAGACTGAGAGACATTGCCTTTGCCCCCTCCTGATTCCGTAACTCGAGGAACATCCCACCCCCTGTGAAATCATATCCCCCCTCTTCCTTAAAGAAGCAGATTCTGGACATGCTCAAGCAAGTCCCATCCTCCGCTACCTTGCTCCTTAAAGGGCCCTTTGTCATTTCTCAGTCCGACTTGGAGGAACTCTGCTATCTTATTGAACAACAAAAACCTTCCCTAGATAATATGATGGTAAGCCCCCGATTCTGTCGATGCATCTTTATCTTCTATGAGCTTCACGATTGAGCGCGTTTTCTTTTGGAAATATCTTTTTGATGGTTTAGTGCTTTCACCTATTGACCACAAATGCTGGTGATACATTTGTCTGTTGCCCGCAAATCCATAAAGAAGGAATAGATAGCTTGTTCTTCACACCTGGTGGATTTCACAATGTTTTGCAAACAGAATCTGAAATCTGCAAGAAATGCTTGCAGCCTAACAAGCATCCCACATTCAAATCACAAGGGTTGCTTGGGAAAAGGGTACGTTATACCCAAGTATAAGGATGTCTCTAAATGGCGGCCTATATGTCCCACCTTCAAATCACCGGCCTAGATGTCTCTAAATGGCCGGTGGAATCAACTTCAATGCAGAATCATGTGCCTTATGGACAATGTCTCGCACATTATTAAGGACCATGCCATGCGGCACAATGGTACACATTGACGTAAGATCTGTCGTGTGTGGTTCAGATCCACGAAGGGAATGCGCATTCTGCTTCAGATCCAAGATGACCTCCTCGGCACTTTGCATGATCGAGCAGTGTCGCAAGCCACTTTCGTGATAAAGCTCCTTATACTTGCTGTGAACAGAGCTAATCACACCGTGGAGACCATAGCTGAGCGAGTCAGAGGTCACCGTTGTGATGACAAGGGGTTTATCATATGTCTGCTATGCAGCTCTGAGACTGAACGATGGCAGGCCGTTAGGGATGGCAGGCCGTTAGGGATGAGAAAGATTGTTGCGCTGGGTGATCCCAAGGATAGAATGAAAAGCAGGTGGAAATTTAAGTACTTTAAGAGCAAAGCAGTGAGAGGGGCACGGTGTCAAAGATGCTGACCGCAAACCCCGATGTATGGCCATAGGTCAAACGATCAGTCATTCGCTGGATCCGTTTGAGCATAGGAAAGAAAATTGCCAGATTTGGGAAGTCACATGGGGAGGCCGGATGGAAATCCATTCGCCTTCAAAGTTGATCACACTAACCAGATTCCAACTTAATGACACAGCGTTGTGTTCCTAGTGGCAGATGCAGTACTTAAACAGAAAAGAAGGCATTCCAATGGCAATGGGGGGAAGAGCAAGCCCCCCTCTTGCACGTATGATGTGTATCTTTGCAGAATGCAAGTTTGTACGTTCGCTGGGTACTGACAAAAAACTGATATCCTGCAAAAGGTACATTGATGATTTGCTCATCTTCTTGTTCTTTCAGAAGGACGATGCAATCGGATTGGCTAAAGCTGAGGAACGGTTGGATAGCGTTCTGCGATGCTACCCGGATGGTCTGGTGTTCAAGCGAACTGAGCAAACCGATTCGGGCTCTGGGACTCTCGACTTTTTGGAAACCAGAATCCTAGTTTCGGCAGAAACGGGGTCTGTCCTCGTTGCACACAAGTTCAAAAATTCAGGCTCTATTTGGTCTGCAGGAGGACAGCTTCGCTTCCACACCTACAAAGCCTTTTTTTTGTTCATATGGGCCAAGTATGGCCAAGTATGCGGTGGTAGCTAATATCCTTCGTATCACTCAGAATCGTAATGACCTGGGGACAATCAGCTGGGGTATACTTACCCTGGCAGAAGAGATGAGCTAATCAGATTACCCCAAGACAGTGATCATCTGCGGCCTGAAGTGCATGAAAAGACGGGTGGATACGTCTTTGTGAGATCATATGCTGGAACTCGTCGTCAGCATCATGTTCAAGTGTTATGATTTTGGTTGTCTGTCAAATTCAATCAACACTCGCACTCAGACAATCTCACACATGCCCATACATGCATAAGAAGAAGGTGAGAGGAAACAGAGTACACACTGCACACGGACAGAGAAGACAACGGAAAACAATTACATGCAGGTGTGGACATAACACAAAAGTGTTTCTCACTCTCTGACAAGACACTGGCGAAGATAACAAAAGAACAAGACCAGCAATGAAGTCCTCAGTGCCGATGTAGGAACTCTGACGATGGAAGCTGCAGCCATGGCTGCAGCGCCACTGTCTCTGCCACGCAGGTAACCCTGACGAAGAAACAACAGCAGTAGTCCACCCACAAACCACTATGTAGAGCCTCTGAATAGCCCAGACAGTTGCAGTCACCCTCAAGGGTCAGTGCTCAGAGAACGTCCCAGCTATGGCGAGCTCCAACAGTCTGGCTATGGCTCTCGTCACTGACGAGGGACTTAGGATGCCGCGCCTGAAGTCAATCGTCACCTTCCTTACTTGGCTCAACTCCCTAGTACCGACGAAGAAAATGAATTGCCAAGAGTCCCTCCTAGACCGACCTAGATCTATTAATAGTTCTAGCCTAGACTTAGACCTAGACTTAACTGGACTGACCGGTACTGCTTCAGTTTTGGCCTCTCAGCCTTTCCCTACCCGGCTATAGGCTATAGGACCGCTGCTACGGGCCAAGGCCGCGACGGCCTCCCGTCCTAGTGATAGTCCGGATCTGCTAAATGCAGTAGGAGACTACAGGAAATTTGAGTCTCTGCTTGGGACCTGCAATTTTTCCCAAATTTACAGATATGTCCCTCACGAATTTCCCCCTAGACTGAAGTAGCAGTTAGTCCTTGACACAAACAAAATTACAAATCTAACCCTACCGCTGTCACTGTACAGCCTCGCAATCAGATCCCAGCAGCCAAATCAGCAAGTCATTGCACAAGTATTGAATCTTGACTCTTGACTCTTGAGTCGTGGCATACGGCTATCACCCTAGTTTTGTGTTCCGATTGCCCTGCAAGATTCGCTTGGACTATTGTCCTGGAAGGGGAAAAAAAGACTATCTGAGCTCCTGCGTACGAAGAAAAATCCGCGCTGTGACATTACGCCTGAAAAAAGTCGGCCTGGGACCGGGGTCAGCCTGCGGCTATAGGTAATGGCGGTAAGACGTGCTGGTGGCGATTTAAGTTTTGAATTTTGAAACTTAATTTATTTTATTTTCGCGCCTTTCTTTCTTGCGTTTTCATTGCTTGCTCTTCGACCCAGCGCAATGTTATTGAGTTGCCCATCGAAGGCACCGAACTGTGATACGCCCACATGCTGACCGCGTGGTAAAGCCAAGTAAAGTTTTTTTGAAGTACTATAACAAACGTAGAATCTGTGCTAGCAGTTACCTCAATCTCAGTAGCGTATCGAGTGGAAGGGTTGAGTATTCCTTCAGCGATGGGAATCGTCGGGGATGGGCGGCGGAGGAGAAGATGTACGCCATGATAGCAATGCTCAAGTCGTCTTCTTCTATTTTTTTTCCCCCCTCCATGTGTTTGTTTAACTTTGTTATCTCATTTTCGATCAGGATGTTGTGAGGGTGAGTCGGTATGCATACCAGCAGTTGCAGCAGCTTCGCAGATTGTGCAACAATTTTTATGTCAAATGTTGTTACACCCTCGACGCGATGTCTGGGCAGCCCATGAAGAAGTCTGAGGGCCAGATCCCACTGGCAAAGAGGATTAGAATGAGTGTCTGAATCTGGACGTGTTCCACACACAGATGCAGAAAAGTAGATCAACCACAATTTTTCGCACCTGACCTCCAAAATGTCCACATTCAGACACTTACTTCAATCCTCTTTGCCAGTGGGATCTCGCCCTTAGTGGGTGCCCACTCAGATAACTGGTGAGATTCTGTTGGCAGCTTGAAAGAATTACAGCCTGCCAACTGTGCAACTGGGAGATACTGTCAGCTTGAAAGCATTACTACAATCCTCTTTGCC